ATAGTTTTACTTTTTTTTTTTTTTTTTACATAAACCATGTAAGATTTAGATTCAATATTTAATATTTAGATTTAACATTTAGATTCAATATTTGATTTAACATTTAATATTTAGATTTATTTTTAACAAGAAAAATAAATATGACACAGTTCACATATATTACTGTAAATCTAGCCAAACAAACAAACAAAAAAACTTTAAAAAAAATCACACCACTTTTTATAGTTGTTGTTTAAAGACGGTTAGACGCTTAGACGGATAGGATTTTATTTTGAATGTTTAGACCGGAAGTGCTACTAGTGATTGAAGTTAGCATAACGCAGAGCACGGCGGTACTGACTGCTGCACACAAACAAGACTTTCTGTCATGTCAGTCAGTTACTGGTAGTCCTCTCTAACTTTACCATACCACAACGTCTGGACTTGACTGATTCGGTGAGATTTATGACGTTTTAAACAATGAAGGTAGTGCCAGTTGGAAACTTTCTGAAGACGGTTGACGTTTTGCTAGCTTGTGGTAATATCAACATTAACTGTTAGCTAGCTTTTCGGTAGCCTAAGCTATGTACGCTAGCTACCAGTGCCACTTACACTAACTTTCACCATGGGAGCTCAAAAAACACACAGTGACAGAAAGATTTTTCAAAACTCTACACGTGTACAAGTCAGCAGAGGCTCTTTACCTGTAAGATAAAGTTCAGGATGATGTATAGAGGCACTGACGTACTGAAAGCTAAAGCTAAATATGCTGCCAAATGGATAACTTAACGTTACATGATTAGAGCTAACATTACACTGTAATAAAATAGTGACAGTGGAAGGACTTTTGTGTGGTAAGTTAACCTTGCTGGCTTCTGAGGCCCTGCCTTCGTTGCAAAGGGTCGAGTACTGTATTTAATGTCAACCTGCGTTAGTTGATCTAACATTAAACAACAACAACAACAACTTAATCGCAGTCTCCAAAAAGCTACAACCAAATAAAAAACAGCATTAACTTAGGTCTTAATAAAACCTTTTAGAGATTGCATTGTGACGATTGCAGTGTTGACAGTGTAACCTGCCTTATGGTAACCTTGAATCCTTGAAGACATTAAGCGCTATGTGAGGCTGTGCGTTTATGTGTGTCTTTGTGATTGCAGACGGCACAGCTATGTGCAGCTGTGTGCGGAGCTCCAGGGCTCTGTCCCCTGTGCTGCTCCCCAGGCTGCTGCCTCCTCAGGCGGGGTACAGATTGGCCGGCAGGGGACTTTGGACCTCCCCGCACTGTATGGCTGTCAGTGGAGACTCTCAGCCGCTCCCACTGCCCAGTCAGGCCCGTGTGGTGATCTGTGGAGGAGGTATTGTGGGAACATCAGTAGCCTTCCACCTGGCCAAATTGGGCTGGACTGATATAGTGCTGCTGGAACAGGGCAGGTGAGATAAGTGTCTGTATTTTCATTCGTTAGTTTTAGTGGTGGGTCAGTTGCATGTCCAGACTATTATTACAATATCTTTCAATGTCTTACATTCCTATGTTTATCATTTATTTTAAAGGATAAATAGACCAAACAATCGCCATATAGGTGGATGTCTCCTTTTAAATGTATTGTAAATCATCCATACTTTACTCTTTAAGCCCTCAAAAAGAAACTATACATCCAAAAGTAGGATACATACAAAAGATAACAATGCACATAAAAAAATACAGTCACAAAATAAAGCACACAAAATTAAAATAAACAAGCTTGTGTGGACAAAATATTCCATACTGCCAGATGTTGTTGGATATTGTTCTGCTAATGCTGTATTGCCTGTCCTTTTATCCTGTTGGCAGACTTGGGGCGGGAACGACCAGACTGTGTGCTGGCATTGTCAGTGTGGCAAAGCCTATTTCCATTGAGTGTAAAATGGCAAACTACTCTAATGGTCTTTACCAGCAGCTGGAGGAGGAGACTGGGGTCAAAACAGGTCAGCCACTTTGACATGTTTAGCTTTTACTCATATTTAACGTATCCTTATGTTAATCATGAAAAAAAATGGTATACTCTATTATAAGTATTATTATCCTGCTAATAAATTACCATAAACATATTCCAATTATGTATGACCACCTGTTCTTTATCTTGTTTAACTACTTATTATCTATACTTTTGTCTCTCTAGGTGATATTGAGGTGTGTAGTGCATCTTGCTTTTCTCAGACAGTGAAGCAAACAAATAATGCATTTTTAGAAAATTGCATTTGATTTCAGTGCACTCATTTTTACAAAAACACAGCTGAAACATTTGCATGTGGCATGCACTACCAGCCATTTCCTATTGGAGTCAGTTGATGTGCCTCTCCATAACACTTGCAAAGCTAAAATACTACACCCCTACAGTTTATGAGTTTTACTGTTATTTTGGCCTAACTTTTTTAGAAGTAGAATTAGAGTATTTGAGTGAGCAAGAGCCTTGAGCAGTTTGAGACCTGCTGAGTTGCATAATATGTGGTTTGGTGTGTTTATTTGTGTGTTTCAGGGTATGTGAAGACAGGGTCTTTGTGTCTGGCCCAAAATCAGGATCGCTTCCTCTCTCTGAAGCGCCTGGCATCCCGACTAAAGTAAGACCCTAAAAACTCAAGTCAGTATTTAGTAGAGGTACCTTTGGCAGCATCTACTGCTTTGAATCATTGTGGATGAGGCAGCTTTGCACATGGGGACACAGAAACTTTTCTTATATTTCTTGACAAAACTGCTGAAGTCTTTCAATTCTTGATTTAGTTGAGGTCTTGGCTCTGACTTGGCCCCCAAGGACATAACTATTTTGCCTGGTGGAGGCACAATGCTGCAAGATTACTTTTATTCTTTGACTGTACAGTTTTATTGCTGGTACAAAATCATACCTACACTCAGCTCCAGTATCAACAGCCTCTACTTGAGCTGAGCACTGCTTTCACATCAAAAAGCGATGTTTTTTCCCCCTGCGATATTGAATATGCTAATGTTACAACGCCCACATCTCTTAAATATAAAATCTGTATTAGCATTAGGCTTTGATCTTTATCTTTTTCACTTTATTCTCAGGGTAATGGGGATCAGCTGTAACATCATTAATCCAAAAGAGGTGGCCAAACTCCACCCTCTTGTTAACATCCATGATCTGGTGGGGGCACTCCACCTTCCTGCAGATGCTGTGGTGTCTCCACCTGATGTTAACCATGCCCTGGCCGTGGCTGCTGCTGGGCATGGTAAGAGACTCAAGCTGACAACTTGCCTGTGATGGAGCACTAAGGGATAATTAAAACAAAATGTGACACAAGCAGTATTTATTTTCTACCTCTAATTCTAACCTTTTTACTGTTTCTCCCTTTGATTCTCCTGGCATCTCCTCTTTCCACGCTCTTTCCTCTTCTTCTCTTTCCCTCCTCCTACATCTCCTTATCTTTCTCATCCTATCCAGGGGTTCAGATCCTGGATCGAACCACTGTCCAGCAGGTTCTGGTAGAGAAGGGTCAAGTGATGGCAGTTGAGACTGATCGTGGCTCCATTGAGTGTGAATATTTCGTCAACTGTGCTGGACAGGTAAACTTCAGTGTGGGATTGTGGGATACAAATGGGGGAGTACCAAGAAATCCCAGTCCCAACTTTAATCAAACCTCTGTAAGCATTTAGGGATTTATTCATCATTTCTGCCCTAGTTTGGCATACATTTTGGTCTGATTCTCAACCACATTATGCTAATTGATAAATACAGTATGACTAAACCAATAGATTTACAGGACAGATTGTAGTGTTTCAAATCTGGGGCACAATATACCTGTGTTCAGAGCAGCAGATAGACATATTTGTTCTATCTGTCTCTGCTCTAGTGGGCTTATGAGCTGGGCCAGGCTAGTGAGACGAAGGTGTCGGTTCCTCTTCATGGCTGTGAACACTTCTACCTCCTCACCAAACCTCTCCAGGAGCCACTTCCACCCAGCACACCAGGTCTCACATATTGAACACATGGGAAATTTAACTGTTTTTTTTTCCAGCAGGCACAGTTGCTAGTGGATGACAGTTTTGCCAGCTAAATATGATTTCTGTTATAGAGAGGAATCACCACATTTTGATTTGTTATTTCGCAAATTGATGGATCTAGTAACTCATTGCACAGTGTATTACTGCAACAAGCGCCCCCCTGCCTGTCCTCCATTTTTCTCTTTAAAGATGAAGTTCCCAGTTAACACTCAGTGATATAAGGTGAAAATCTGCTCTGTGACTGTATGCCGTTATGATTTGCACCAAATATTTTTAGCCAACACCTCAATTTAATAAGTACCTCACCATCATTACAGTGGAGCGTATGTCAGTGCTAATAATGTGAAATGCATTTATAGAGTAGAGCAGGGAAATGTCTTGAAATACACCGTAAAACGTAATTTCCTTTGATTCTCGTGACTCTCCAGGTTGAGTGACTGTGTGTGTTCAGGAGAGAGAGGATAGAGGATGTGCTCATTGATTATTTTTTTGAATTGAATGTCTTTCTTAGTGTGAAATAATTTAGTCTGTTGGAGATGATATCACTGAGCCTGTGTCTTGTGTCCAGTGGTGATCGATATGGACGGCAGGATATATGCACGACCATGGCAGGGAGGCATTCTATCAGGGGGCTTTGAGAAGAACCCCAAACCCATCTTCACTGAAGGACGCAACCAGCTGGAGATCCAGAACATGCAGGAGGACTGGGACCACTTCGGTAATGGAGGGAGGGATGGGAGGGAGGATAGGTTTCGAGGAAGATTGTTCAAAAAATATGCATGCACTGGCAGTCCGGGGCATTATTTGTTTTTTGTTTTTGGCCCTGTTTAGTCCAATATAATTCCTGTACTGATCACCCCAGATTTCTTTCCATCAAATTTCGGATTTATTTTTTGGCAAGGTTCAAGTCAAAGTGTTCAGTGTGTTATTATGCATTTTTGTTTAAAGTGTCCTTCAGTGATTAAGGAAAAAATACTTGTTTCAGTTTAAGAATCTTTTATACAGACGTTTGAATTGTTTATTTCATACTGTTATTTAAACAGTAAGCAATGTCAGTTCAAGGTACACCTCACACATATAAACACACACACACACACACACACACACACCTGTCTTTTGGCCTTGGCCTTATGCCAGTAATCTGAGATTCCTAATGCAGCCTGACTGGTTGTCGTAAAGACAGCAGTATATCACCAGCCAGCCTTGAAGTGGAGCAGGGCAGAGTCAAGCAAAGCCACCAGGCGTTCTGTAGTTGACATCATTGTTATTTTGCACATTACCTAACATTTGCATATTGTATTTTAAAAGTACTACTTGAAAAAACAGTGTCTCTCATGAATATATGTGAATGAAATATATGGAATTGAACACCAGTGCACCTTCTGCTACGAAGTGTTATTGTAATACTTGAAGGTATGAACAGTAAAGTCTCTAGAGTTTGCTCTTTAATCATGTTGGGTCGCAAGTCTGCAATTAAAAACAGGAAAGTTTCACATACAGATGTTAATGTATGTGTAACATATTGTTGTCGATAAGTGACTACATACAAGTCCAGCACATCTTTTGGTTTTTGCAAGCAATGCATATTTACACTCCGCCACTTTGGACCCACTGTTTCAGCTTTCATGTTGAGAAACCTGCTGGACTGTTTATAGGACAACATGTGAAAAGGTGCAGTTACTGCTGCATAGCTGGTTCTTTAGCTTTTTGAGTCTTTGTAATAGTCATAGTAGCCAACTAGAGTGGTTGTTCACTTCTGTTTTTCAGTAATGGGTGAAACAGTACAGAGGGGCAGGAGGAGAAGGAGCAGGAAGCAAGTGGGTTTATTGGAAATGTGGCTTTAAATGTTAAGAAATACTAATACTGATAATACAGCTGGCATAGCTTCAGGTCAACCTTTGTCTTTATCACATAATTTTAAAGCATGACTGATTTGAAAATGCTATATTTTGATGTGGACATAGTTTTAATAGAAATTGTGTACAAACCTTATTGTCTTCTACCTCCAGAGCCAATGCTCAGTGCCTTGCTGAGGAGAATGCCGAATCTTGAATCAGCTGAGATCCATCAGCTGGTCAACTGTCCAGAGTCCTTCACCCCTGATATGCGCTGCCTGATGGGAGAGACGCCAGGTGTCTCGGGCTACTACGTGCTGGCAGGGATGAACTCCTCTGGCCTGTCCTTTGCTGGGGGAGCTGGCAAGTAAGCATGGGTATTTGTGTATTTGCTTTGCTCGAGGATATCTTACGGTGTTTATAAGGACAGAGATTAGCATTGAATTAGTAAAATCAGCTCCGTGGTCTGGATATGTTTTGACTGCATTACAGTGAAGCACAAATGGCATGTTTTGTGCTTTGGCATCCAGGTACCTGGCAGAATGGATGACCTATGGCTACCCCACAGCCAATGTCTGGCCGCTAGACATCAAACGCTTTGGCAACCTGCAGAGCAGCCGAACTTTCTTGCGACACAGAGTAATGGAGGTCATGCGTGAGTAGTGAACTCTTGTTACAGTTTATATATTTCTTAAAACAATACTGGCATTCCAAGAAAGATTCCAAGGCACTGTGAATTCAGCTGGAGATAATATGTCTTGGTCAGACAAAACAAGTGTGTATCTTCCAAAGTTACAATCTCTTCAGTACAAAATCCTCTCATTGTTTTCTTTTCACAGCAGTTCAGCGAGGACACACTGCCTGAGGAATTTTGTTCTCAACTTCTCAACCCGCCAAATTTAGCCAGCTCACACTGTAGAAGCCTCATATTTCTTTATGTTGAACTTTGGAATGCATTTAGCATGAAAAGAGGATTGTGGATTTGTGGAAACTCTCTTTATGGCCAGCATTGAAAAGGGGAATGGTCGCAGCAACTAAAAAGCCTTTCAACCTAAGTATGATACTAGAAATCATTTAAACCTGTCTTTTAATTAAAGAGACATACAAGCAACCATGGCCTATATTTCTGTTGTGACATGCTGGTTAACAACAACATACAGTGGCAAAGGTTATAAAAAATTACATATTGATTATTGATTGAACTGTTCTCTCAAGATGAGCAGCACCTCCAGCACAGTTAACACCTGATAAGTTACAACTTGGCAGCACGGTGGTGCACTGGTTAGCATTGTTGTCTCACAGCAAGAGGGTTCCTGGTTTGAACCCAGGGTGGGTTGGTCAGTCCACAAAAAGCTCCCCACCCTTTGGTGGCAACAGTTTTCACCCTAGGAACCTAAAACTTGTGTGTATGTGTATGTGTATGTGCGTGCATGCGTGCGTGTGTGTGTGAGTTTGTGAAGGTGTGTGTTTCTGTTTATGTCAACTGGCTAAAAGGGGGCGTGGCAATGGGAGGGATGCATGAGCATAAGTGGTCGCTGAAATTGCTGAAATTGTTTTGCCTTGATGCCTTGTATGATTAGGTTTGTGCTTCTGATGTGTCTGCGTGTGTCTGTGTCCAGCCCTGCTGTATGAACTAAAGGTTCCTCGGTGGGACTTTCAGACTGGGCGTCAACTGCGGACCAGCCCTCTGTATGATCGTCTGGACACCCAGGGAGCTCGCTGGATGGAGAAACATGGTTTTGAAAGGCCCAAATACTTTGTTCCCCCAGGAAAAGGTACAGAGTACTCGCCAGGAACAGGCTTTTTAGTGTAGTATTTGTCAGTGAATCCTTGTAGACCTGAGGATGCTGATGTCACATGACTGAGAATCACTTTTATAAAAACGGATTCCTTAAACTAGCTATGGTTTATAATGCAGCTCTTGTGATTAGCTGAAAGTATGCAGGCTTTTTGTTAAAGACTGCAGCAGGTCATTTCACTGATAAGTTGTGCTATATTTTCCTGTAGTTGGACATTGCGACTCTAAAGCACTAAAAACTTTTGCATCTGTGTAAAGGGCTGTTTAATTTTTATTTAGTATTTCTCAGTGAGACACTGAGAGATTTATCCTATAATTTAACACAGCTTAATGAGTGTAATCACCTGGTGTGGATTGATTGTATATTCTCCATCCTTCATGGTATACACTCGCCTAAATTGTCTAAAGTATGTCTGGCTGTGTATGTGTATAGATCTGCTGTCTCTGGACCAGAGTAAGACCTTCTACAAGCCAGACTGGTTTGACATTGTTGGAGCAGAAGTGAAATGCTGCAAAGAGGCTGTCTGTGTCATCGACATGTCCTCCTTCACCAAGTTTGAACTTACTGTAAGTCATGATCACATCGGCCAGAAAACTGCTGTTGCACTTTCCTTTTTGTGGGTTCAGACTTTTTAGCAGCAGATGATGCAATTTTTGGTCAGCTGGGAGCCACTAATGAAAAACTGTCTTTTTAAATGAATGAGCTTCAGTTGTGGTTGTAGTTGAGTGCTGCATCCACTCGGATGACGTAATTTAATTTGAACCTTGTGGTCTGTCTTGATGTCCCAGTCAACAGGGGACCAGGCCCTGGACCTGCTGCAACATCTGTGTGCCAATGACCTGGATGTTCCTGTTGGACACATCGTCCACACCGGTATGCTGAATGAGAGGGGAGGCTATGAGAACGACTGCAGCGTGGTCCGCCTCAGCAAGAACAGGTTCATAACACAAAGACAATAATACTGTGGACATGCACTTGACTGTAGGCACTATAATATAACTCACGTTTTTGTCCCATCTTCAGCTTCTTCATCATCTCTCCGACAGACCAGCAGGTCCACTGTTGGTCCTGGATAAAGAAACACATGCCTAATGACCCACACCTCCACCTAGAGGATGTCACCTGGAAGTACACTGGTAAGCACACAGCACCATTGTTTAAGCATGCCAACATTTGCTGGCAGATGCCCAAAAGTTGTGCTGCAACGGCCTTATAGTTCTCTGTAAAGTAGACCCCACATGGTATTCAGCAACATTAGAGTCTCCGTGACACAGAATGTATAGTTTCTTATTCTCTAAATTTTTATTTTCCACAGGGAAAGCAGGTGTACATCAACATATAATGTCTGTCAGTTGTATACGATAAATATACATATCTTCTCACATTAACAACAGAACATTAACAGAGAAATAGATAAACAAAACAAAAGTAGCAAAACAAAAAATATAACTCCAACCCATTTCTGTTAAATTCATAATAATTATTTGCATTATGAGTAGTAAATAGGCCAGTAACAGATACAAGAAAAAAACAACAACAATACAAGACATCTGCATATTTTATAGCTCCTTAACCCTGAAAAAACAAAAAACAAACAAATAAGAATAAAGAGTTATATCTTAGTTCTACGTTGAGTGCCTCTTTCCTGGCCTTGAGCACAACCTGACCTGCCCCATTCATTCTAGCAACAGAGAGCTCCATAGATAACACCTCTTGTCCACTGATGCATAGAGAGAGTGTTTGGTGGTTGCCACCTAACCGCCAACATCTTTTTAGCAACAGTACATGATGACAGCCACAACAATCTTTGCATATGGTTAAAGTTCTGCCTGGAATCATCATTCAAGAGCATACATTTTGGAGAGCAGTCGATCTCTAAACCAAGTGTTTCAGAGAGACGTTTTGTTATTTGTTCCCAAAAATTTCGAGCTGATGGACACTCCCACATGATATGTAAAAAGGTTCCCATTTGATTCAAATCACATAAATTACAGTTTGGAGAAGTGGTTAAATTAATCATAAAATGTCGCTTTGGTGTTAAATAGGTACGATAGATGAAATTCAGATTTCTTTTTTTTTTTTTTTAAATCTTATCAGTCTGTTTAATTTATTGCTTTTCTTTTTTATGATTGAAACAGGGTTTATTTACAGTTAGAAATGCTTCACCATACAATTTAAACATGATTTTGTGTCTACAGTTACTATCAGCCCATAAGTGGCACAAAAAAAGAAGTGCCAAAGCAGTTTCCATATTCACATTATTTTACCCCAGTATGACGAAATTCTGATTTGTTAATTTATTATTTAGATTTTGTGAGGAATAGGAAACATTCCTCCAAACTCTAGCCCAGTCTACAGATGATTCAGAGCAGTCTTTATTCCATACTTTAGTTATCGCTAACGGGGTCTGTATATGTTTCAACAAAGTGTTATAGATTGCAGAAACATGTCCTTTAGTTAGTGATAATTTCTTAAATGATTCCATCATTGGATGATTAGTAGGTTGTTTTCCAATCTGCTAACATCATCTCTGTGCAAATGTGTCTCCTGGAACATAGCTAAATCAATTTTATTTCTTGCTAGTAAATCTAAGCAAGCCATTCTTTTATTAGGACAACTGAGGCCCTTTAAGTTGCAACAAAAAATATTTAGGCTAGCTGTAAGGTTTTTGATCTATAATGTTTTTGAGAAGGAAAACTATGTGTAGTTTCTTTAGCGTCATATTTCCCAGTGAAACTGAGGAATTTAAATCAAATCCTTTGCATTTAATTGGACCGCTAAAAAGTGGGCATGTTTAGAGTTTAGCATGATACAGAGCCACAGCTGAGTTCACTACTGAGGACAGTGTGGACATGCCAAAAAGCTGGGGTTCCTCAAATAACCACTTGAGGTTGGCTCCAGAAGTGACCCCATCTTAAAATGCCCAATTTTATGGCAGAAATAAACATGTTTACAGCCTGGTACAAAAAAACGGGAGGTGGCCATTTTGAGTGACAGGCTGTCTGCCAAAACCCAAATGTCCTTGGATTCTCAGTCAGATCCACCCATTGTTTCTCCACAGCTCCACCCTGTCATCCAAATATGGTCACTCCTGGCTCCAAAAACTTGAGGTGGCAACAGCCAAAATACCGAACTCCAGGCATCAACATTTGAGGCCACAAACTCATGTGTGACGTCACAGTGCCCACCACCATTATTTTTACAGTCTATTATTTAGCCAATTAAAGCCCCAGTTAAACAGGACTGTCTTTAGTTTGAGATTTTCAGTGAAACAGAATATTTGAGCCTTGTAGTTAGAAGTGGTATTTGAATTAAATCTGTCACATTTGATTGGATTGCTAAAAAGTGGGCAGGCTTAGAGTTTGTTCACCAGGGAACCCTGCTGGTGAACGTACTGTTGACTCCACAACAAGACACAACCTTTGGCACTGAAAATGAGGACAGCATGGAAGTGCCAAAAAGCTGGAATTCCTCTAATGACCACTTCAATCAATCAATTTTATTTATAAAGCCCAATATCACAAATCACAATTTGCCTCACAGGGCTTTACAGCATATGACATCCCTCTGTCCTTAGGACCCTCACAGCGGATAAGGAAAAACTCCCCCAAAAAAACACTTTAACGGGGGAAAAAACGGTAGAAACCTCAGGAAGAGCAACTGAGGAGGGATCCCTCTTCCAGGACGGACAGACGAGCAATAGATGTCGTACAGAACAGATCAGCATAATAAATTAACAGTAATCCGTATGACACAATGAGACAGAAAAAGAGAGAGACAGAGACAGAGACAGAGAGAGATGCAGGACAGACGATAATGACAGTAGCTTACAACAACATTAATGAAAGTAATAATATTATAATTATAGTTCTGGCTACTGTGATACAATATGTTGAAAGTATATATTAA